CATACATACATACATACATACATACATACATACATACATACATACATACATACATTGTCCATACATCCATTGTCCATCGTTTATCTGGGAAGGGTCGCTGGGCGTGCCTGGAATGCCTCAACAGTGATTCGTCCAGGATCCAGGATACTACCAGTGATGCGGACCAAGCTCTGACACCAGTTGTACAGGGACCTAATAGCCCATATCAAAGGGCCTGGTATCCCATACTCCCGGAGCACCCCCAACAGGATTCCCAGAGGGACACGGTCGAACGCCTTCTCCAAGTCCACAAAACACATGTGGACTGCTTGGGCGAACTCCCATGCACTCTCCAGGACCCTGCTATGGGTATGGAGCTGGTACAGCGTTCCACGGCCAGCACGGAAACCACACTGCTCCTCCTGAATCCGAGGCACAACTATCCAACGGACCCTCCTCTCCAGAACTGCTGAACAAGCCCTCCCAGGGAGGCTTGAGAGTGTGAGTCCCCTATAGTTGAAACACCCTTTTTAAATAGGGGGACCATGACCCCAGTGTGCCAATCCAGCGGAATTGCCCTTGATGTCCATGCGATATTGCAGAGTTGTGTAAGCCAGCTGACTGGGTAGTGGTCAGTGGAAAAGTGTGCCCCCACCCAAAGGGAAAGGGAGGCTACCCTCTCATTCACTGGGGTGAACCCCAATGTACAGGTGCCAAAAGGGGGGCAAGAAGAATGCCCATTTCCTCTCACCATGGGCAACTCCAGAATAGAAGAGTGTCCAACCCCTCTCAAGTAGAGGCGAGACTGACTATATCGAGCCGGAATCTCTCCATCTCGCACACCAACTGAGGGTCCTTCCCCACCAGGAAGGTGACAGTCCATGTCACAAGAGTCAGCTTCTGCAGATCGGTCCGCCAAGGTCCCCGTCTTCGGTTGCCACCCGTGTCACATTGCACCCGACCCCTTTGGTCCCTTCCATGGCCCCCATCGTTAGGGGGACCCAGACACTCGCCAGCTTGCCCCACCTCCAGGCCTGGATCCGACGTGGGGCCCCAATGACACACGTCCAGGCGATGGAACAATAGATCCATTTCTGTTTGTCACCATAAAGGGGCCTTTGGGCTGCGCTTTGTCTGATCCCTCACCTCCGTCAAATAAGACTCCACATCTGGTTTGATTAAAGGGATCACAAGTCTTTTAATGGCACATTGATGAGCATCAAGTCTAATAAAACAGAGAAACGTATAAAACTTGCAGGACAGTATTGTTGGCACTGCTGTGTCTGGGTGAACGTGTATCTTATGCACATTCATCCAGTTCCACTTTTACATTTAACATACAGAAAGTCCCCACAATGTTGGAGTCTTTTTGGAGTCTCTCCTTTTTGGAGTCTTAAGTTCATAATCAGTTGCTCCTGTCTGATTCTCAGGAATGTCTCTTCTCTTATTGTGTTTGCTATTGATCAAAGAGGTAAATAGTCTCCTGGCTGTTGAACACACATTTGTCTCCTTCACTTCCTCACTCTGTCTTTACCTTCTCTGCCTTGCAATGTGTCAACACACAGAACACCATTCTTTCTTTTGTGTCTTACAAACAGGAGGCGATCATTTTATGAGAAGAATTTATTGTATTTTTGGGGCATAGCTGTCTGGGGGAGGTCTGTGTGAGCTTTTGCTTTGTTGTGTTGTCTATGAGTGGCCATGGTAACCTGTGATTATTTTCCCACAGTTGTCTGGGCCTAATATTAAAGGTGTTTAACTTATGTAACTGACATATCTGTGGTTCTTGCAGTCGGGGGGACACATACACAGGAGTAAATTAGGTCATTTTAAATTGGAATTAAGATAAATAAGCATCATCTATAAGGTTTAAATTTCTTAATCAAGGGTTACAGTTAATGTTAAGTTATCACTTAATTTTTATATAAGCACAGGCTTGGTACCAGGAAGTTAGCTTTGGACCAGTACTGAAGATAATGTCAAGAATAAACTTTTTTTTAGTCCAAGAGGATTCATTCAGCTTGTGTTTTGGGGGTATACTCGTGTTTGAAAATTCTGATTAGTAGTATTGCTTTACAAAGCTTCAATGGTCTGGCAAATGATTTGAGTTTATATTGAAGAATTAAGAGATGACACTGCTCCGAAATTACTTGACCCAGTTTCTTTTTCTTCCATTGCAGCAGAAAAACCTCAGTGTATGATACAGCCTTTGTAATGATGGACAAGAGCTTCAAGTGTTCTTGACATTGTGTATTTCATGTCCTCTGCCAGCCTGAAGCAGCCTTGACTTTTAAGACCATGTAGTCAATCCCCAATGTGTAATTTTCTGTGTTGTCACTAATATAGAATTTTATGCTGAATACCATGTCGGTATTGCAAAAGGAACAATGAATAATTCCTAATTAAATAGTATTATAAACACTATATTCATACATGTTTAAAACCACTATAAAAATATAAAATATGCACAAAAAAGAGATAGTATCCTCAGAGGCGAACAGATAAAGTTTTTAAAGCTTTGCTTGTAAAAGGTCTTTGCTTTCAGAGCACTTTAGTGGATAGTTCATAACAGACCCTAAATTAAGGAGTCCAAGAGGGTATTTACATTTAGTAACCAATATGCAAAGGCACTTCTTTTGGATAATGGTCAACTTTATAGTGTTGTCAACCAATGAAAAATGGACACACAAAAGAAGTTTGGCATTCTTTTGCCATGGTGAAATCAAAGTCGTGTTTTGATCTGCATGCCTGAATAAGATTAGACTGTTTGTGGCCTGTATTCAGATGATCTGCTCAAATTCCTGAAAATGTTTCATGCAGCAAATGCAAATACAGTACGAAGTGAGGATTAACAAAGGGTTTAGTGTAAACTAAAATGGCAAGATAAAGATAGGTTTGACTTTTTATGCGAAGTATTAAAGCTTGAATCTCCAACATGTCCTCCACCTCTCTTTCCATCCCTTTCTACCCATCCTTTTCTCTCTTATTTGTTCCCTCCCTGTTCCTTCATGTTCCTCCCTTCTCTTGCTCCCTTTTTCCCAGATGAGCAACAAGCGCTCCAACAGTTTCCGAAGAGCCATCCTCCAGGGGAGCAGGCAGTTAAAAGGCTGCAGTCTCAGAGATGAGGTTGGCTTGGGACTATCCCAACGTTTAGTCCGCCATGTGGCCTATGAGACGTTGCCCCGTGAGGTTGACCGCAAGTGGTACTTTGACAGCTACTCATACTGCCCCCCTCCCTGGTTCATCCTGGCTATTACAATTGCAGAGGTAAATTGTTTCAGAGTGTCATATGAAGATCTAGATATTTGTCACACTGTCGTTAAGTAAATCACAGCAGTAACAAATAACAAAACAAAAGAACATGGAAAGAATAAAGGTGTGTGGATGTATACACTTTGAAAACTAATTTTCCAATGAAAAATCAGACTTATGTTAAGGAAAAACAGACAAATTTCAAGAAAAGTTGGAAAATGCCCTGAAACGGAAGAAAAACAAACTTATCAGTTTTCTCTCTTGTTTAAAATGTTTTTATTAAGACCCAACACGACACCAACCAGCTTTAAAAGTTCTGGAAAAGGTAATTTAATTTGAACTTATATAAAAGCAACATCCTGAATCAAAAAAGTTCTGGATGCTTCCACAGTCTAAATTTTTAAATGTTGACAGGTTTGGGTTTCCAGATTGAATTTTAACCCTGAAAATGCCAGATCCAAGAAAATTCTTTATTTGGCCTTTTTACAAAATATATTTAAAAAAAAAACATAAACAGAAATAATGTTTGACTATTGCTCATTTATTACAATGTTACAAGTCAAAATTATTGTCATGTAGTCTTCGGCCTACTGTTATCAGGTATATCTGATTGTGTACAACAGGGTTTTGAGCAACATTTTTACCATAAAATGATGCAAAAGGTCTCTGCTAAATATTTCAGAAACCGTTTGTCTCAAATATGATATATATGGTATTATAGGGTTAAAGAACATCCACCAGAAGTTTATTTTCTTACAGCGAGTTACCAGACAACAACAACCATTTGCTGTTGATTTACTGAATCTTGCTAACTTTCAACACATTTCACCCATCGTGACAAAAAAAATGTCAGTGATTTGTTGATATCAGTATTGTTTTTTCCAGTTAAAGTACTGTGGCTTTTAGTAAAAAGTTTAAATTGAAAATAATTAAACTTCAATGAATTACAGAAGTGTTTAATTTATTTTTAAATGCTTTGATTAGAATATTTACAGAACCTTTGCTCCTTCAAGTCTCTAGTTGTTTGTTCTGTTCTGTCAGGTAGCAGTGTTCATGTATTATGGATTCCAGCTGGAACGCATGATTCTACAGGTGTCCAGCCCGTCTTTCTTAAAGAGCCCTCTACCTTATCACCCCCAACTTCGAGCCCAAATCTGGAGGTATTTCAGCTACATTTTCATGCATACAGGGTGAGTTGAAATCTAGTTAACGTTTGCCCTAGACCTAACTGTGACTACTATTCCTGAATGTTTGGATCGTGATAGGCAGATGTGTTTAACCTTGATTACTGTAGCGTTTTAGTTTTCGTAATTATGCCGTCTAACAGATTGAAATAATTCAAAGTTTATCACATAACAATTTATTCAACAAATTTTTTGGGGGAATATTGGTGTAACATGAAAAGAAAATTATATACTTTTAGATTTTATGCACAATTCGATCATGCCTGCAACAGATAGTCAGTTCAAACAGGGTCAGGATCCAATAAAGAAAAGTAAGACTGTAATTTCTTGGGAGAACATGGAACTAGCTGGGAAAAACAGTAGCAGGTATGATACAGTTTGTTGAAAAGAAAAAAAAAGAAAAACCATGGAGTGAGAGAAAAGAGTTAGTGTTTCCAATTTTGAAATATTTATCTTAATCTTATTTAATGATATTCAATATTCTTTCCTAAGTAATTATTTTAATTGTCCTAGTAGACCTTCATTAACAACTTGATTATCAGAAATTGTAAAACAACAGAAGGCATTTTTGCCTTCATACCTACAGTCCTTATTTCACAAACAAATCTTTACAAAAGGAAAAGGCTGTGAAACCTAGTGGTAAACTTTTTTTTCCTACAAGATGACATAAAATAGAAAATAAGCACTTTTTTTCAGTATAGTGATTAACCGGTGACCAATCCAGGATATGCCATCCCTCTGAATCTATAGACACTGAGATAGGCTCCATCCTGTTCTTGTGTTAATGGTTTTACATTTGACATTGATCTTCTTACTGTCTCCCATTAAATACAAGGATTACATTAATTATTTATAAATTACTGTAGCTTTTTTAAAATAAAAGTTCGAAACATTGTTCTTTAGAAACTAATTATGCGCCCTTTACCATTAGCCATAAAGTACAGTACTTAATATTGCTAACTTTAGAAGTGATTGTTTACATCTTTTATTTTTGCTGAGTTCCTCACAAACACATATAAACACTCACATGCTCTGTATCTTTAACACACAACCACAAACCATGTAATCTAATCAAGAGCTCAGCTTCCCTGATCCTTTTAATTGTCTACACTGAAGCAGGATGTTCATATCAGCCTCAAAATGTCCCTCAGCAGAGCCTCATTCAAGCTGTCTGTCTTTTTTCCCTTGGGCTGTAAACGTTCTACATCTTGGACAAGTTTCTCTGCATTCTATGTTTTTTCCCTTTTTTGCCCAGTTCTGACTGTCACAGACAGAAGTTGCATTGCATAAGCCATAAATCTAAATCATATAATTTTTTAGATAATTTTTCATGAATGGTGTTTCAAAGCAGTTGTACTAGTTTTGTCCATGGATTGTAAAGCAGTATACAAAAGTAAAGTAAGAATAAGCTACTTTTTGAGGGCCTGAAATACCATAGTCATCTAAACATAAAAATACCTCTTTAGGGCGTTCACAGATCTACCCAACAGCGCAGCCAACTTTTCACAGCCTCATTAGCAGTGTAGCAATAGATGGCTGCTGTCTGAATCAGAGTCATCCTTGTGCAGTTGGACAGGCTTTTCCCAGCAAATCAATATGTCCCATTGACTCTCTCTGATCATTGGAACAGTGCTCTGTGCCTGCATTGTAGCTGACATGGCTGGGTTATTTAAAAAGATAATAGTTTTATCTTATCTTTGTATGTATAAATGTTCTTGTTTATTTCTAGGATATTTTCTCTAAAAGTGGAAAGGAAAAAGGGTTGAAAGAGTCATCTTCGTCAATCTATTATTTTTTATATTTGCAGAAACTGATGAAAGAATAATTCACACAGAAAACAGAAAATGGTTGAAAAGATAGAGAGAAGAAAATAAGCCTGCTGATTTCTGTTTTTGTTCCTGCTGTGACACCCAAATGCAATTGAGCTGAAGATATAACAGGAAGGACATTGAGGGCATGGGGAACAAGTGTGTGAGTGTTTTTGTTGACAGCTCTAGTATCCCTCCCTCATTGCAGCAGCAACACACCTTTTTTGTTGATGTTATATTTTTGTGCACATACATCTACAATTTGTATGTATTTCTCTATGTGGTTTGACAGCTGGATGGAAAAATGGAAAATGTTACCATTACTTACCTCACTAAGCTTTTTGGGATGAACACATGGAATAATCTGGAAACGTCATAATACAGACAAAATACAAACAGTAAAATTAGCTTCTTATTCTGACCTCCAACTGTATTTTTCCCTGTTTGGTTTAATTGACCAGCTCTTCCCTCTATGTTGCTTTGGTTTTCAGAGATATAGGTCATCACAGCACACACAAGATATGAGCACTATTCATTCATTATAGTTTATCTGTGGAAAAATGTGTATCATTTGAAACATCTTCTCCACATTCTAAACGTTTGTAGGGTACATCTATGAGTGTTTTGCAGCTTTGATATTCCTAAAACCCGATTTAAAAGCCCCCCTGTCAGGATTAAAGAGGAAGCAGACCCAAGGGTAGACAATGACACTAAAAGAGTTAAAGCTGGCAGATGGTCTTGTAAGAATTTGTCATTAATAAGATGACAAAGGCCCAGGCATTTGAAACAAAATACCTAGTGTTGACCGGAAGAAAACCTGGAGTACGTAATCTTAGGGAGAATATCATAAATCAACAGCAGATGATACTTCAGTAATTAAAACCAGTCGTGACACAGGGAATACAACTTAACAGGATAAACATGAGGGAAACTGCTAAATAAAACAGAAAATAATGTTATTAAGCAGCATATGACAAACATGTTCCAATTGACATTTTTTATGCTATAAGTTCAGGGACTGAAAGGCAAGTAGCAGTAAGTAAACGCCTTTACTATGTTTCTAATATTTTTAAAAACAAGAATATTTTACCATCGCAGGGCCTCAACTTGCAAGCAACCATGTGTAATTGACCTTACCCAATAGAAAATCGAGGCAGTCTCTGACTCAAAGGTCTATCCATTCATTGTTTATATCACTTATTATTGTTAAAATGATGTATTCCAGGTTTTTCACTGTTCATGGTTCACTGTTTATGGGTCATTATTGTATGATGCCATGGTTTGCTGTTTTTATAATGCTGTTTATTATCACTTTCCAACAAGAGACTACGTGTTTATTTCTGAGTTTATCATCACAGTCAGCGCTCTATAGATTTTGCAAATGTATATTGCACTTCATGAAGTGCAGAATTTCTGAAAAAATTGAGATTTTTCCTCTCAGAAATACATTCACGAATAGTTTAAATGTGTCCTACTTGTCAGCTATGTCGCCACAGACAGAAAATACAGGAGAATCAAGAACTAAACCGTTCAGTTTCCGATTTTTTGTTATTTGTGAGGCAATTTATAGCCACAATAGCTACACATGCAGAGTACAAACCATATAACCCTGTCAATAGCTTTGCAGCTGTGATCAAGACTGGGTGCTGATATTGGTTTCAAAGACAATCTGTGGAAACTATGACGATTCTCTTGCCCCACTTCTCCCTCTCTCTTAAAAACAACCAATTTCTAAAAGAGATGTGTATGCAGTGAAAAAAATAGGCTATTCAAATTAGAACACATCCATCCATATTGATTTTTATACTGCCTCCTAGTAGGGTTGCAGGGGGCTGTAGCCTATTCCAGCTGTCATTGGGTGAGAACCAGGATACACCCTAGATGGGTTGCCAGTCAACACAGAGACAAACAGTCACACACACTCACATTGACTTCAACGGGCAATCTTAGAATAATCAGTTAGCCTAAAACGTATGTTTTTGGATAGTGGGAGGAAACTGGAGTACCAGGAGAAAACCCATGCATACTCCACACAGAAACATGGATTCAAAGTGGGAACTGTCTTGCTGTAAGCCAATGGTGCCAACATGAGTACACAGAAAACAAAAAAATATTGAACATTAGATATCTTATTTCATATAAATTGCCAATAGCAAACATTTAGCAGTTAATTAGGTTCAGGTTTGTTAAATGATAAGGTATACAATGGCAGAGGCATTAGGCAGATGCATTCAGAACTAAATATAGACAGGGGTTTAATAATCAGCTAAATACATAGAAAAAGTGTGCAGCAAATAGTGGTGAGTTCATTATTTAATGAGCTCCACTTAGTAAAGCCGTAGTAGCACTTTCAAGGCTATTCCACCAAAGGAAGACCAAAAAAGAGAATAAGTTGAAGTGCCATGCTTTTGAAGATTTGGCAGCAACAGACAAGAGGTATGTGAGAGTTGAGGTGTGATACAGATCTGTATGGACACACTGAGGACGGTATAAGCAGACCCAGAGATCACTTTGCTGTTTATCATTAGTGATATGAATTTGGTGCAAGCAATCAAATTCATAATTCATTTGAGGTAGTCATTGTAGCCCTTTTTGTAAGATCAGACATAAAATCAGATATACTGCTGACGGAGATGTTGGGCTCTATGGTTTGCTTGGTTGATATTAGCAGCATTTTTCTTTTAAAGATGCTACGTTGGAGATTACACTCTCTCATATATTTGTATATGTCAGCAAGAAAGACTTGAGATTTCCACAGAGACCATGGAGTTGCCTGACCTTTTGCATTGTATTAGTTTCAAAATAAAAAGCCATTCTATTAGTTATAAAAGGCTGCATGTTGGCGTTACCGTTACTAAAAATACTAATAAAATTAGTTGGGAAACATAAATTAAATATGTAATCTGTAACTTCTGTGGTGTAATTTGTTATCCGTGCATAAAGCTGACTGTCATTATATATTTTGAAAATATGAATATTATTTATTATATCAATAAATGTAGAATGGGAAAAACTGTCTCAAAAGGTAATGTAGTAGTCAGGTGCTGCTAAACAAATGCAGAACAAAAGCAGAAGTTTGGATATTTTGCTGCCCTGGAGCCTTCAGTTTTCTAAGATTGAAAATTAACATAATCTCAAAGTAAAGGGACATTAGCAGTGTTCCTAAAGGAAAAGGTATTTTTCTGGGAAGAGTAATAAGATAATTTCATAGCTCAGGTCCTTTCTGTGTGGAGTTTGCATGTTCTTCCCTTGTGTGTGTGAGATTTTTCCAGGTACTCCACCTACCTCCCTCCCTCCAACCAAATATATACACATTGGGCAAATATATTATTCTAGAATTGCTTATCGGAGTGAATGTAATTGTGGTTTTCATCTCTGTGTAGGCCTGCGATGGACTGGCAATCTATAAGGGAAATTGGTGACTCTAAATTGACTGTAGGAGTGAGTGCGTATTCCATCTGTCTTGCTTGTCTGTGCGGTTCTGGGGTGGTCACTTCTTGGAATAAGTGCATACAAAAAAATAGATGGGTTATGAGAAACACTATTATTTCTGTCAATAGCAAAGCAAATAATACATTTCTCATTGACATGAAAGTGACTGCACCTGAACAAGCACACTGAACTCACATATCAAAAGGCTGATGCTCTAGCAACTGAGCTACCCAGACAAATACTTGAGGTTTTTTTTTTGCGAGACACAGTTTTTACATAGAGATATACTAAAATGAAAAATTGGTGTTTTGCTCTTTGCTTCATCGGGTTGGGCTTACTTGCAGCATCTTGTTGGATGAGAAAATGGTTACATTGAATGTGATAAATTACACAGTCTTACAATATTTCAGATTATGATATATTAGAGTAGTAATCAAACACAAAAAGACTTCTTTCAACATCCGGATATTGTGGAAAAATACAAATTCAAGACACAGATTTACATTAGTAATAATAAAAAAAAAAAAACTTTATCAAAGGTTAAATATTACAACAATCTAATTTAGTCTGTGGTAGTGTTTAACCACCAAGACAATATGGAATGTTTTACTTAAAGATATACAGTATATATTTTTAAATCCATCAATTAGATGAGGGCCCTTTGTCGCAATGGGCTTCATTGTCCTGAAAAGGCAAGGCAAGTTTATTTGCATTGCACAATTCATGTAAGAGACAATTCAAAGTGCTTTACATAAAAGATTAAAGAGGAATTAAAGAAGAAAATTAACTTGAAAAGTAAGCTTTTAAAACCAGAAATCAAATCAAGTAAAACAAAAAAATAATTATTTAGACAAATTAAGATAATACTTTCAGATTTCACTATACATTATATAATGTAGTTGCTTTGGACACATGGGACTGTTATCGACTTGTTTTTTTCCCCCTAATTTAAGTTAACTTTTTGCCTTGAGCAGTAATTATACTATAAACACTTTTTTTATTTTGTTTAATGGGTTTGGACCACCAATCTACACATGTGAGGGATTCTGTCAACCTAACCTTAACAGTATGCATGTGTGTTTGTTTTTTAAAGGATTGAACATTTGAGCCTGAATATGGCCATGCAACTGCTGGTGGGTGTCCCTTTAGAAATGGTCCATGGCGCTCTTAGGATCGGACTGGTCTACATGTGTGGTGTTCTAGCAGGTGGGCATGTCATCTGTCCTTGTCTATCTGTCTCGTGAGATAATACAGAAAGAAACACTGCAGAGTTTTGTGTCTCTTGTTGTTTCATCTGATTATGTGTTTTTATGGATTTTACAGCCTCTCAGAGTCCTTCCATTGTGCTTGTGGATGGAACTATATGTGTGTGTGGCAATTTTGGGACAGATGGTTTCCTTTTTTCATGGTGAGATGTAGGGGGTTGTCACTGCTACATCAAAGCCCCCTCATCCCCCCATTTTTTATTTGTGAAACGGCTGAGCAAAAAGAGTATTTTCAAAATGGAGTTTAATCAGAGAAAGACACTCCGAGTGATAATGAAAAAGGGATGAAGATGGAGAGGACACACAGATTTTCACATTTTGATAATGGAAGTAGTCCAAAGAGGGGATCCATAATATGAGAAAGTGTGAAGAAGCAAAGAGGTACAATATAATGAGAAGAGAGAGAGCCAACAACTAAAAGAGAAAAATTGAAAGCAGAGGCCTTTTTCGACAAAATGACACGGCCCTTCTACTTCCTAAAACACAACAAGCATTGGGACAGTTTCTGCATACAGTGCTGAGATATTTCTGAGGGTGTATGACAAATAAGCACAGTAAATAAAATCGGTGAAACTAACAAATAATGGATCCCAGCATTTGTTTTCTTTGAATAACCCATCTGCTGCCTTAGGGTGAAAATGTTATGCCTTGTGGGTATAAATGCAAGTGTGCTAGTGACAGAGACAAATAACAGGAATCAAAGTGTGATAACTACAGATGGCTGATATTTTAAATATTCAGTTTTTCCCTGTCTCTGAGCCTGTGCGTGTGTGTGTGCACGTATGTTTGTCGTACAAGGGGTTACTGACACATACCCTGGGGATACCAGCTGTGGTGACCCATAGCTATAACCTCACTGTGAAATGACAAGGAAACAGACTATAAAGCACACACTCTTATGTATGTACACATACTGACAACACACACACACACAGACACACTGAAGCGTCTGTTGTTTTAATTAGATATTGATCACCAGAAGACAGGATGCACAGTAAGGCTGAATTGGCCCTGATGTTTGGGCCTTTTTTTTCTTAAATGTTTTTGTAATTGGAAGTTGAAAAAGATCCTTGTGAATTTGCACTACTTAGCAGCCAGCAGATATTTATCTATTTTACTATGTTTTTACTATTTTAAAACTTACGTTTTCTGAAAAAGCCATGGGGAGCACATGGTATTTGCAAAGGTTGGACAGTGTCCAATATAAGCCTAAATTGTTAGACTATAATGTAAGGACAGCATTGTCCCTAATACTGACTGTAATGTTCTTTGCAGCTTTATAACAACAGCATTTTTGTATCAGCGGGTCAAGCCCAATTCAGTTAGGTGAAATCTAGCGGCTGTAAATTTAACAGTGCCAGCTCAGGAAGACGCATCTGCCCCGACACCCACAGGGGTCAAAGCTTAGTTCAAAGGTCAACTAATGACTGAGATAAAGGTCTGTGACCTTCTTTACCCAACACACAGCTGACACCTTAATAAAATAAGTGGCTCAATTGCTCTTCAGGACATCAGACGTAGATACAATAATTGCTGTTTGTCTGAATTCAGAGCGTAAAGAGGAATAGTCCCACAAAGCCAATGTCTCAAATATTGTTGCAGTATGGAGCCTATCCCAGATGACAATGGGTGTGAGGCGGGTTAAACCCTGGAGATGTCGCCTGTCCATCACAGTTCTACACATGTATCCAAAATACATTTTTGTGACCTTTAAGTGTTTTGCTCAGAATCATAACCCCTTTAATGTCAGTGATACAGCAAAGACTGAAACTTTCACCTACATTTTCTATGTTTTTAAGAGTCTGTACTTAGATTTGAACAAAAAGATGCTAGATAATGGAATTTGTTTTTGTTATTATAATGAAAAGTGATCTAGTCCGCATGAAATTCATTTACACCTTTGACAGAATTTTTCTCACATACTGAGACATGGTAAGTGATTTGGAATTTGAACGAACCATGCCCCAGCCCTTCATTGTGGATAATGGTCTGTCACAGCAGGGATTCCACTTGTGGAATTGCTGCTCATGCAGTAGCTTACAGTATAGTGAAAAAAATGCTTCAAATAAAGGAATCACACAGATTATAACACATTTCCTTTGAGTCTTCTTGGAGATTGTATAATGCTCAGAATATCTAAAAGTTTGAGTGAAACAGGAATAGAATAACTGCATTTCATTGACCATATAAAACATTTAAAAAATTATCCAGTAAAGACATTTAGTCACACAATCATAAGGGGAAATTACTTAATTTAATTAGAAGTAACACTAACATACTTTTTATGTTTGTTTTAGTCATCTTTCATTTTTGACATATTTGTGCAACTCACCTACATTTTCGAGAATGTGTTAGCTGTTAAAGATGCAGCAGACATGCATGGCCAACAAGAGTTTTCCAACTCAGAAGTAAAAGATTCCGTCTGACTGTTACCACCTTCCATTAGCACATCTGTTTAGATTAAACATGTGGAGTGTGGATCCTTATTAGGATGGCTCTGCTCAGAATGAATCCACTAAGTTCCCACTAACTGTTGTTGACTGACTGTAACTTTATACAGTTTATAGAGGAGAGACTCTATAAAACAAATGTATGCATTTTCTGAGTTCTTATTGATATATATCTTATTAGTTCTTATGAAGAGATGTCCTTAAATATGATAGACTAAACTATGGCCTCTACCATTCCTGCAGGATCTCTGGCAGTGTCCGTTACTGATATGACAGCACCTGTGGTTGGATCATCTGGGGGTGTATATGCTCTGGTGTCAGCACATTTGGCTAATGTAGTAATGGTGAGTCCTCCATTATTGTCACATTTCTCTGGTGTCCTGCCACTTCAGAGCATTGTAACATTATCAGAACTGACCCTTTAGGGCCCCAGCAGGTGCCTCGCTATCTTCAGATGCCATACATTCTTCAGCATAATCTTTTCCTTGCTATTCATACATCAGAAAAGAGCATGAGCAAGTGCACATGCTAATATGACAGAGTGTGAGTAAAATCCCATCTCATCAATGCCTCTGCTGTCCTTTGGTTCAGTGTAACTGCCTAGGTCGTCAAATACACCTTTGCCATCACTCAAGGTGAACATTCCATAATATACCAATCTTATTATGTTCTTCACCAAATCCCCACGAAATTCTCCTGGACGTGCTGGAAAAATGTGTCCTGCTCTCTGCTGAAATCTTATTATCTAGCACAGCAGGGTTACTTTAGGTTAGGTTAGAGGTCCGAGGGCCTATGGGGTTTTCAAAATTGACCTGAATTGATACAGAGAGCACAATCTATTGTTTCTTTATGTTTATGCAACATAAACTCTATGTGTGTTTCTAAGGAGAACTTTTGACCCAATCTATCTTATCTATTTTCTCATTCCTCTCTTTGTTTTTTTCCCACAGAACTGGTCAGGCATGAAATGTCAGTTTAAGTTATTCCGGATGGCCATGGCTCTAGTTTGCAGTAAGTTTTTCAAAATGTTCCACTCTCTCTTTCTTGTTATAGTTTAAATCTGCTTCACAGGTCGGTGATTTTAAAAATATGTTTTGGGCCATGGAAACAGTCTTATTTTTTCTGTTGGAATCCATTAGGATACTGCACTTTTATACTGATGATGAGCATATTCACAACCGCCACTATCATTTCTGTGCATGTGTTTTTGTACATCACATTTCCTGCATATTCATTTTACTAGCAATTGTCTCATAAATGCCAAGTGGGTGCAGTAAATGGATCAAATGCAGGCCACTAAAAGGTGTACGACAAGAAATAATATCACTGAAGTTTATTTGATTATAACAAAAACCAAAGCAAAGCCTGAAAACCAAAAAGTGAACTTGAACAAGCAAGTTAAATTCAATAATAATAAGTTACCAAAACACATGAGTTGACAAGAAGGCAGAGTCCAGAGTAAAGAGAGCCTGCATGAACAGTCAGCAATATGAAAAAAGTTTCCCATATCCTTGTGAAGAAAATAATGTTAGATTACACAGTCAGTATAGGAAAGTGAACAGACCACATGAGTAGAAATTGTTAAATGTTCTGTCATGGACACTCGTTTGAAGAAAGGGTACGAACTGTAGACTGATTACTAAAGGCTGGTGAGTTGGATTGAATAGCAGGAAAGACAGCTGTACCAGGCAGAACCAAATAAGCCTGTTTGTGGATATGGGATCCAAGAATTGTGGTCTGATGGTTTCTCTGTCATGGCAATGATTCCGCTTGTGGAATTCCTGTTCATGCAATCATTTATACTGAAAAAATGCTTCAAATAAAGGAATCACACAGATTATCACACATTTCCTTTAAGTCTTCTTGGAGATTGTATAATGCTCAGAATATCTAAAAGTTTGAGTAAAACAGGAATAGAATAACTGCATTTCATTGACCATATAAAACATTTAAAAAATCATCCAGTAAAGACATTTAGTCACACAATCATAAGGAGAAATTACTTAATTTAATTAGAAGTAACACTAACATACTTTTTTATGTTTGTTTTAGTGACCTTTCATTTTTGACATATTTGTGCAACTCACCTACATTTTCGAGAATGCATTAGCTGTTAAAGATGCAGCAGACATGCATGGCCAACAAGAGTTTTCCAACTCAGAAGTAAAAGATTCCATCTGACCGTTACCACCTTCTATTAGCCCCTTCTGTTAGTGCATCTAGAAATTCTTGATTGTTCTGCTAAACAGAACATTATCGTGTCTATGATCAAATATTCCTTCTATTTAGAGATATACATTTCCTGCACATTGGATGCGGTTTGGTCCATAGATACACGGAGGCTGAAAAGCACATTTGAGATTTACAGCAACGTATTGTCCCATCTTGGTTACATTTTCTGATAACGTTTAGCATATTTCGGCTGAACAGCATGCAGTACAGTAAAAAATTTAAATGTGTTTTTATATGTGCTTTAGTTTTGTGAATTGAACAGTGCTTAATTCAATTCAATTAAATTTTATTTATATAGCGCCACATCACAACAACAGTTGTCTCACAGCGCTTTCCAAACAGAGCAGGTCAGACCTTACTCTGAAGTTAACTACAGAAACCCAACAATTCCCACCATGAGCAAGCACTAGGCGACACAGGCAAGGAAAAACTTCCTTTTAACAGGCAGAAACCTTGAGCAGAACCATGGCTCAGGGTGGGCGGCCATCTGCCTCGGCCGGTTGGGGGTGAGGGGAAAGAGAGAGCAAGAGAGAGAGAGAGGGCGAGAGAAGGACAGAAGGAGCAGAGAGGGGCAGCCAACACAGCAACACGTAGAATAGATTAAAAATGGCAATGATATTAATGCTAATGATGAGCAGGAACATGGGGGCAGCAGGAAACTCCCAACCACAGATCCAGACTCCACAGCTCTAGGAACACCTGCAGGAAGTGATAGGAGGAGACTCCCAACCACAGATCCAGACCCCACAGCTCCAGAGCCAGGAATATCTGCAGAAAGTGTTAGGAAGAGAGAGAAGAGAGAAGGGGGACGAGAAAGCACACGACTACGGGGAAGGGAGAGAGTCCAGTTAGTAACATTGTTAATGGAATGATATTCAGAAATTATTGCATTCTGTTTTTATCATAATTTTTGACCGCTTTACAACTTTTTTGAATAAGGGCTGTACGATGTGCAGTATTCATCTCAACAAAAGAACTTAAACCTTGTCTTTCCCTTTTTTCCACTTTGCTCACAGTGAGTGTTGAGTTTGGACGAGCAGTGTGGCTGCGGTTCTACCCCCCGGCCTTCCCTCCATGCCCCAACCCCAGCTTTGTGGCTCACCTGGGTGGGGTAGTGGTGGGCCTGACACTGGGTGTGGTGATCCTACAGAACTACGAGCAGCGTCTCCAGGAGCAGTCTCTGTTTTGGATATTTTTCTGTGTTTACACTTTGTTTGTGCTCTGTGCTGTATTCTGGAACATTTTTGCCTACAGCCTGCTTGATGTGAGAATTCCCCCCGCACCATGATTTGCTCCTTAGGGACCGATCCTTATCCTTGCTTTGATTGGTAGGTGTCCGACACCCCTCCTGGATGTTGTCACCTCAGCCCACTCATCTGAAACCTCATTGACATTCTTCTTGCTTTTTTCAGTTAAGCTTTACCAATCAGTCTAACCTATTCTTCTTCCTTGTTGTTTCTGCTGGATGTTTGTGTGGCTGCTACTGGTACTGGTACCACGACTAAACAAGAAGCCTCGGAACTGACGAAAACAGTATTGCATTACCGTCTCTGCCTATTTCTCCCCTATCCAATGGTGCCTTCTCATGAAGACATCAGCTTGCTAGATGTATTTCTGCACTGTATTTTTGCCTCTTGTGAAGGGCGACAGCTATAAATCCCTGCAATGTAAGACCATGTGATAAGCAAACCGTTTCCTAAAAAATCCACACATCCCCAAATTAATGTGTTTGTAAAAGTATTAGACAGGTGGATTTTTTGTATATTGCTGCTATAAGATGCTTATAAGCAGGATCTGATACAATGACAAGAGGAAAGTGACAGTTTCACTGTACAGATAGAAGAGGGACTACCCAGGCAACTAAAGGTTATTAGAAATATACATTTTGAAGGAATGTGTGGAAATTGTTTAAGGTTGCCTTCCTCATCAGGATTGATGTGTTTGAACTATTTGAACAGTTTAATGTCTTATGTGTGTGTGTGTGCAGGGAGTCCAACAAATGTTTCAACATATTCATAAGAACAGGATGCAGAAGTGCCATTCAGACTTTAAACTTCAAAGAGAAAAATAAATTATGCCAAAATATTGCTACAAACACCAGGGAAGTACAGCCCCCAACAAATTTTACATATGTGTAAGGGGAGCAGTTGGGTGAATGTAAATGAAAACTTCCTGAAAAAAGAAATTGTTTTTAGTTCTGCTTGGGTTTTGTATTGTTTCTTGCTGAAGAAAAAATGCAAAAAGTAAAAAGGGATTTATGTGACATGAGTGACATCCAAGTGTTGTTAAAATACTGAAAAGCAGAGGCTGCCAGCCTGGATAAATAAATCTAGGTCTAAGTTGTTGGTTTCATTTCAGTTCAAGAGGTAATTAAGCAAAGTCATCAATCAATGATCTCTCATTAATTCCTGTCTCAAATGATTGAGTCAATATTTGAACAAAAAAACAAACCAGTCACGAAGCTGTAACTCTCAAACAGTACTGTATTTTAACCTTGTGTCACAGTGAAAACTGCTTTGCAGAAACAGTATATAATTGTAATGACATACAGATTAATAGTTTAACATGCATTTTGGCTGTATTTTTACATGTTAACACCCCAATATATTGTGTCATATGTTTGGTCAGTGCAGGCGACACGGTGGTGTGGTGGTTAGTACCATCGCCTCACCAGGGCCTTTCTGTGTGGAGTTTGAATGTTCTCACTGTGTCTGAGTAAGTCCTCTCCGGGTTCTCCAGCTTCCTCCCACAGTCCAAAAACCTGCACGATGGATTGATAGGACATTCCAAATTGCCTGTAGGAGTGAGTGTGAGTGTGAGCGTGCTTGGTTATTCGTACTTGTGTGTTTCTGTGTGGCCCTGCGATGGACTGGCGGACCGTCCAAGGTGTACCCCGCCTCTCGCCCATTGACTACTGGGATAGGCTCCAATTCCCCCCACGAACCCATTAGGGAATAAGAAGTTACTATAATGGATAGATGGATGTTTGGTCAGTATGCATGATCATATTTGAGCTATATCCTCTATGTATCCTATTTAATTCATGGTTAATGATGGCTGGGGATTGTAGATAATAAGGGCTATGACACCAAACGGAGTGAGGGCAAATTACTGATAGCATTTTAACATTGTGTACATTTTGTAGATTTGATATGTATATAACCATGGGAACATTAAAAGGTTTTATACATAAACTTTATCTGATCCTTTTTATTTCAAGGTTTGAAAAATCCATCTGGGACTAAAGAAAACCTTTAAAAAAAGACTGCCCACCAGCCCAGGCTGATCCATAGTTGGATATGGTTCTTCTGCCATGTCAGCCCAAAGTGCTGTGATCCTGCATGCATGAGGGTTTGTTAATGGATTTTGTGGGCTTTGTAACCAAATTGAGACTGTAAAACGTGTAAACACACCTGAGCTTGTCTCCTGCTTATCTCCCTTTGTATATTTTCCTGAAATATCTACTGGTACGAAGCCCTACATGTTTATCAAAAGTACTTGATGTCGACAAAATGAGCCAGTTGTAAAGAAAATATTATACTTACTGATTTATAGTAAAATGTTCTTGTGTTGAAAATATAGGTATTTTTTCTCCAAATACAATGCTATCCAACTACTAGATATTTGCTTAACATGTCCACATCATCTGAACAGAGTGAAAATGGATGGGAATCTTTCTTACATAGTGGAAGCACTCACCTTACAGCTGTTGTTGTGGATTTATGACCATTACTGCCTGCACTTTTATATTTTTGTGACGCCTGGGGATTTTGAGTTTGTGTTTGGTTATGTCTTGGTCTCTTGTGTTCTTTTTTTTTATTTCTTTTTTTACCTTGTCCTGTTCAGCATTATGGCAGCAGAACTGAAATCTGAGTACCGTGCTATGCTGAACAAAATAGCTTTGCCAAGGGAGGCTTTGCTAGTGAGAAGCCCCCCTTGATTACCCAAAACTTCTTTATTTATTCATTTTTGTTACCAAACTTCCATGTGTCCAATAATGCCGAACCTGACAGAGGGACAGGGGGGAGGGAAGAGTAGTGGAATGGAGAGATATCCTTTATAAAGAGGGGGGGGAATAAAAAAGAAGAAGAAAGAAAGACAACAAGACCATACAACCAGCTGCTATGTCCGCAAAAAGGACACTGCTCCTTGTGGGCAGTCCAAGTGGAGAACCTGTAGGAGCTCCTGCAAAAGGGCACAGGGAAGACAAAAGAACAAACAAGCAACAAAAGCAACAACACTGGTAGCAGGACATTAATGAATTTCTCCGCATTGTGCAGCAACTGTACAGAAGAAGGCGTGTGTCTGGGTAACTGACTCTGCATGTGTGTGTATGTGAAAGAATGAGAACCCGCAGCCCAGGTTTCCAAGATTGTGCTCAGTTATAGTGCAAAGAAGCCACCAGCCGAAGCCCCCCCCCCCCCCCCCCCCCCCCAGCGCTCCGAAGAGGGCAGAGAGTGCCCCAGACTTGGTCCCCCAGCAGCCACCCGAGCACAGATCCCAGGAGGACAACCACAGAGACGACCGGGCACCAACCCAGAAGGTCTTTTGTTTTCGTGGCAGTTGTCTTTCTATGTTCTTGGTCTTGTCATTTCCTGTTTTATTTTGAAATAGTAACTTTCCTCGTGTTACATATCACCAGTTCACCAGTCTGTCTTCCTTGATTCCTGATTGTGTCCACCTGTTCCTTGTTTCCCATTATGTGTACTTAGTCCGCCTTGCCCCTTGTCTCTTGCCAGAGTGTTTTTGTTTGTGTCAGAACATCTATAATGTCAATAGTCCTTGACAGAGTTAAGCAAGTTATAGCTTTGTCTTTTCCATTTTGATGATTCATTTTTAAAATATTACAAAAACTTTATGGAGTAAATTTTCATAGCTTTCGCTAAGTTTAGTAGCTCTTTGGTTTTTCCTCCCGATCAGGGATCCTGGCAATTTTGGCTATTCACAATTTAGTACCACCCACCGTGTACTTTCACCCATCTTCCTGAAGGGAATTAGTCCTGCTTTAATCTTCCCCTTGATGTCATGTCAACACCATTGTTTTTGTTAAAGCTATATTATGCCAAAACCCCTGGCTAATCTTTTTGATGGACATCTCCAGGCCTCCAGGCAACATCAAAACTTTTCCAATCCTCCACCGTGTCTCGCTGTATCCAAGTCCTAACCCAGTTTTCTTACTTGCCTGCTGTTCAGACTGATGTTACCATTAGCAAATTTGAGATACACCTATAGTTACTATGAGATAACCCGAGATCCTGTGTGATCTAGCAGACTTTTGGAAAGATTGTTTAATTTGCTTGTGGAATAAGTGCTTTTGAATTTCCACTAGTTAAACGCATTGTCTAATTCTGGACTAGTGGATTTCAAACTCTCCAGAATTGATTTTGACCTTTAACAGCTCCATCAGTTGTTTCAAACAATGCCTCAAACAAGTGGTGACTTTGAGAGATCTGTGTACTTTTTATGCTTTTAAAATTCTCTATCACACTTGATCATTATCCCACTAATTGGAAACAACCCCAAACAACTCTAAATTCACCATCTATCAATCAGTTATTGAATGTGTCAAAAAGATCAGAGTATAATCAACCAATTTTCACTGGTGCTCCTTACCTCACTGCCCATGTTGTAAGGTAATTCATTCAGAAATAAAGGGTCCACAAGCCTTGAAATATACACTTCAAGACTTGTGGATACACAAGAGATTGCATACATATGCTGACTATGTAAAATATTTGGGAATAAGAATTACTTTATTAATCCCTTGCTGGAAATTCTTTTCTTGCAGTGCACCCGTTAACAGAACAAAAAAATTAAATAAATTTTACAATCAACAGTATTAACAATGCTGCTCAGTACCTAAATTGCTATTATTGCACATGAACGGGTTATTGCACAAAGTGAAGTGATACAATAAATAGATGATAAGTAATGATAGAAAATGACTGACAGAAAGATTAATTATACAGTTTGATGGCCACAGGCAGGAATGACTTCCTGTGGCGCTCTGCGGTTCAGCGTGGTGAAATGAGTCTCTGACTGAAGGTGCTTCTGTGGGTGACCAGCACATCATGAAGAGGATGTGCAGAATTGTCCAGCATGGATTTTATCCTGGCCAACATTTTTCTGTCTGACACTGCTGTCAGAGAGTCCAGCTCCTCTACAACAACGTGACTGGCCTTGCGGATGAGTTTGTTAAGTCTGTTGGCATGTTGGCATTGTATGTAAACAATGTCTTGTATGTCAATTGAATGTTCCTGTCCACAAAAATGTGCTGTACAAATAATT